AGGGACCGTACGGAGGCGGCATGGAGGAAATGATACAAGCCAGAAATATTACTGAAGCCTCTGATTCAGTCGAGAGGCAAAATGACGGTCTGACTGCTAATCTATAAAACTCATGAGGCTCACTTTGGATGCACTCCTGCACATCTCCCATCCACCATAGGCTCACTTCTACAAACACTGGCGTAGACTCGAAGACGCACAAGAGCCATTCTTAGCTGGATTTAACGTCTTTATAATGATGATGAGCTTCAGTTTAGCACTCTTCTCTTCTGAGTGTGTGCATTAACTTTTACAGAGCCTGCACTGCTGCTATGCTACATGTGCTACTCAGATGCTGGTACGCATAAATCTACCAACGAAAAACAAATCCAGGTACTTTTCATTTTAATAACAAAACCGATCTGATGACGGGCCGATTCAAAAGCCGTTACACTTCGTGGCGCCCTGCAGGTCTGATACCCACCCAGAGGTGCTACTCTGTCCGAGTGGCAGCAGAGATACCATACCATTATCCAGGGAACATCCTTACACAGGTGTTGCCACAGCCAGTATGTAGCACAGCAAAAGTCCCCCAAAGCTGCTCACAGAGACTACGCCGTCCTGCCTGGAAGGTTATTTCCAAGGATTTCTACTCAAATAACTCCAAGATAGCATCGCAAGCTAGCACGTTAGCAGCAGATTCACTGTGCTAAGCGCCGCCGCGAGTCACGCTTTATGTTCTCGTTCTGGAAAGAGTCATGAACCGGGGCTGTGTCAGTCACGCTCTCTCTTCATCTCACGCTCACAAATACAGATCAAGAGACGCAAAGGTAAGAGGATAAGCTGGAAGCAGCCAGATTAAAGGCAACCTCAGCTTCTCTGGACAACACAGCTTCTTTGCAGCCATCTGAACTTAACAGGCTAAATTTACTTCTTGGTCTTGTGGAAACGCTAACGTACAGCAAACAACAGAACGTGCTTTTGTTTGACGTGTCAGCAATCGCTGCTGTTCGTACGATCGCTCCATCGTTACTCTTACTGTAGCTGTGAAACGCAAAAACTGAGCTGAAAGCCACAAACCAATGTGACACACCCACATGCATCTGTCTGTGTTTGTGGAACAATGTGGATCTAAGGTATAATGAGGTCAGGGAATCATGTGGCATGCAGTTGGCTAAGAAATCGTTTTAGAATAAAGTTTTTAAAAACATCAGATTTGTGGAGACGTGTTGACAGAATAAGTGTACTGCTACATCACAGACTTCTTTTAAAAGACTTTTTGCAAGCATAGACACACTATCACCTGCTTATGTCGAGCGTAATCAGCACGTATGCGACGTCCTCAACACAATAACAGTAACAAATTTTTTTCTTTTCTTTTCTTGTCTTAAACTCTTTGTTGTAGAGTAAAAACTTGCTGTTTCTGAGTGACGTAATCATGTTTTAGACACACTGTGCTGTAGATCAAACGTCTGGTAATAAGGCTTTGTATCTGCAAACCACAGCGTGTTTCTAAAGTGAACTGTAGGGTATGAAAATGTTTGATTATCAAGCCTTTTTCAGCTCCTTCATTTTACACAAGCAAAGCAAAGTTTCTCTCATCAGGACGATATCTTTAAGGACTCGTGTAATGTCCTGTACTGCACACGCTGCACTGAGATTCAAAACCTCTTTTTTAAGGGAGACCTGGCCGAAAGAGGCAGCAGCAAGTATCTCACAGTTACAAATATTACACAATTAAACACAGGCAACAACAACAACACACACAAACAAAATGTAATTAAACTGACAAGCAGTCTCATTGAAACAGGCATGGAATTGGCCTCAAGGATTCTGAGTTTTCATTTTTCAGTGGTTCAGCAGCTCGGTCCAAGCCGAGGGTTCAGTTCGTGCAAACAGAGCAGAAAGCAACAAGACGAAGAGGATAACCACCAGCACGTTCGCTGCTTCGAATTCAGGAACAAATATTTACAAATAATCAAATGTTCTGCCTTCACATGCAACAGGCTCCTCCCAGCAGCCTGTGTTTACTGGTGTATGTCATCACCTTTTAGCAAGAAACCTCCACATCTTGGTAGCAGCTGCTGCTCGTATTAATGCAAACTTTATACCAACTTGTGGTTCCTGGTAGCGTCAGGAACACCATCACCACAAACTGCATTCCCACCACTCAGAAGAGTTTGATGCTCTCTTTTCCCCCTTACAGACACTACTCTTCAAACCAGCTCTGACCTGCTGCAGTTTTATTTTTTTAAATTGTTTTATTTATTAATCCTCCCCTCAGCTTTAACAAGCTACAAGCCATCAATTTTCTTGGAGTAGTTTCACATTAAAAGCTTTCAAAGTTATTCTCTGTGGAGCAACATTGGTTACTAAGGCCTTGTGCATTGCAGAGTTTGGCCAGTATAATGTGAGCCTGCTGGCAGGCAGGTCAGGATTTCGAGGCAGGTTCTTGTAGTGACTAAAAATGCTGAATAATCATCCAGACTGATTCCAATCAAATGAACACCTGAGCGTCTCAAGTGTGAAGTAAACACACAACATTCAGGCGCACTGCTGCAGGACGCTGTTTTAGGGGTGGCCTTACGGTGTGTGACGCCCGCTAGGGTCTGGTAGAAAGTGGGCGTGTCGCTGTCATCCGTCAGCGTGACGCACACTCCTCCCGACAGCAGCCATCTGGACAAAGTGAAGGCTTCCTTGTCCTGCAGGAGCCAGTTCCTGAAGCGATCGTAGTTGACCTTGTCTCCCTGCACAAACACAAAGGCAAAATGAATCAGCTGTCGCCAAAACACCCGATCGCCAGCCGTGTGGCGAGTCCATGCTCGTTTGCCTATTTAATGAGGAAAGGGTTTGCCCCGTCGCTACGGACTCATTAGCTATCGTTATTTATCAGTCAAAGTGTTTTGGGGTTTAGGGCTTTTAAATTTAAACTAACAAATTACAAAGTCTGACAAATCGAATCATTCAGTCGTGACGAGAAGCACCGACTTCTGCTTCTTGAACGTCTTTTTCCCCCAACAGAAGTTTACTGACATTTTAAAGAAGGCAGCTCATCGAAATGAGTGACAAGTGCCGGGGCAGGACTGCAGAAAGTAGCCAAGGACGAGGGCGCAAACATAGATAAGGGAAATACACTTCGCTTCACATCGAGGTGGAAGCTCTA